ATTTAAAAAACCTGAAGTGCCTAGGTTAAAGCAGATGTGAGCTTTAACAGCAGCTGAACTACAAGGCAGCCCCTTGGTACACCGAGAGTCCACTGAAGAGTTCTGAACACCACTAAGCTAAAGGGATCATGACTCACAGGAAGCTCTGGAAATACACAGCAGGCCGCTTAGAATACAGTGAGGATGAAGACATGCAAAGCTCTTCACTTCAGTAGAAAGTCTCAGAGTTCCTTCCTTCTTCCCTCCCTTTTACAATTATTTACTAAACAAAAGACTGTGTGTGAGGAGCTAGCACACGCTGGTGAAGAGATGCATTCCAGTCAGGCAGAGGTAGGACCACAAACAGAAAATAAGTTAACAAAAAATAAAAAGAAACTCCTTATAATTATAATTTGTAATAAATGCTATGAAAGGAACCAACTGGGTGTAGATCGTAAGAGAATAATGGAGGTGACTGGTGGGGAAACCGGACTTCTCAGACAATGGACTTCCATAATAAATGTGAGGTCTGAGAAGACTTGTCAGACAGATGGGATCCTTTTTCCTTTTGAATTTTTATTATAGAAAAAATTTCAAAAGTAAATAGAATAGTAAAATAGAACCACCCCCATGTATCATCATCCACTCACACCCTATCTCATTTTATCAATATTCATATCCGCTCCTCCCACCCCACCCTGAATTATTTTGAAGTAAATCTCAGACATATGATTTCATCTATAAATATTTCAGTATATATTGCTAAAATATAGTCTCTTTTCTCTGATCGCAACAGAAAAAAATTAGTAGTTGACAACAATAAATTATCTGGAAAGCCTCACATATTTAAAAATTAAACAATATATTTCTAAATAATCCATGAATAAAAGAAAAAAAATCACAAAGAAAATGGAAATTATTTTGTACTAAATGATAATAATAATACAATGTGACAAAATTTGTGGAATGCAAGTAAAACACTACTTGGAGGCAAATTTATAGTTTTAATCGCTTATATTAGAAAAGAACCGTTTTAAAAAATCAATGCCCTAACGGTCCACCTTAAGATAAAAAAGAGGGACTTCCCTGGTGGTCCAGCGGGTAAGAATCCACGCTCCCAATGCAGGGGGCCTGGGTTCGATTCCTGGTCAGGGAACTAGATCCCACATTCATGCAGCAACTAAGAATCCATGCCACATCTGAGAAGTACGCATGCCACAACTAAGAAGTCCACATGCCACAACTAAGAGTCTGCATGCCACAGCTAAACATGCCACAGCGAAGATCCCACGTGCCGCCACTAAGACCTGGTGCAGTCTAAATAAATAAATAAATATTTAAAAAAGAAGAAGATAAAAAAGAAATGCAGGCCAAAAGTAAGTAGAAGAAATAATAAAGATAAGAGCAAAAATCAATGATACAGAGAACACAAATTACCAAGTCCACAATGAAATAGGGACACCACTATAGAAGCCACATTTGTGAAAAGATAATAAGAATATTATTAGCAACTTTGTGCCAATACATTCAGTAACAAACAAAATGAACAAATTACATAAAAAATAGGACTTATCATACACAAGACCAAATATTAAATGTGAAGAGCTCTATATCTATTAAGGAAATAATACTGGTCGGTGAATTCTGTCCAACATTCAAGGAAGAATAACTGCCAGCCATACAGAAACTCTGTCAGAATGCAGAGGATGAAGAAAGGCTGCCTAACTTGTTCCGTGAGGACAGCACAACTTCAATACCAAAGACAAAAAACATTACAAGAACGATAATCATAGGCTAACATTCTTCAAAAGACCTAAAACTCCTCAGCAACACATTAGTAAATCAAATCAAGTGATATATAACCAAGCACGGATTATTTCAAAACTGCAAAACTGGATAAATGTTAGAAAATTAATCAATGTAGTCTACCAATATAACAGAATAAGAGAAGAACTATATAGTCATTTCAGGACATGTAGGAAAAAAGCATTTGATAAAATTCATTACGATTTACAAAAAAATAGAAGGGAACTTCCTAAGCCTGACTGATGGTATCTATAAAAAACTTATAGCTAGCATTTAACTTGATGGTGAAACAGTGAAAACACTTTCCCCCAAGACTGGGAACAAGTAAGATGCCTGCTCTCACCACCATTCAACATCTTCTGAGAGGCTCTAGCCAATGCAAAAGAAAAAAATCAAAAGCATAAAGAGAGAAAGAAGTAAAACTATTCCTATTCATAGATGACACAATTACTTATGTAGAAAATCCCAAAGACATCACCAAACCTACCAGTGAATTTAGAAATATAATTTATATATTTTAAAAAAATCAATTCTGAATACAGAAGCAAATACAGAAGGAAACAAGTGGAAAACAAAATTTAAAAAATAATCCCATGTATAATAATGTCAGAAAACATAAAATCCTTAGGAATGAATTTAACAAGTGTGTAAAGCCTCCACACTAAAAAACTATAAACATTGTTGGGAGAAATTTTTTAAAAACCTTAAAAAATGGAAAAGTATGTCTTTCTAAGCCATGAAAGAAACACATACTTTCATGGCTTAGAAGTTTCAGTATTATTAAGTTTCAGTTTTCCCTGAACTGATGCAAACCATAATGTTAACAGGCATTTTTTAGAAATAAAAGTTACTAGCCAATTCAACAATGTACATGCTGGGCTTCCCTGGTGGTGCAGTGGTTGAGAGTCCGCCTGCCGATGCAGGGGACACGGGTTCGTGCCCCGGTCCGGGAAGATCCCACATGCCGCGGAGCGGCTGGGCCCGTGAGCCATGGCCGCTGAGCCTGCGCGTCCAGAGCCTGTGCTCCACAACGGGAGGGGCCATAGCAGTGAGAGGCCGGCATACCGCAAAACAAAACAAAACAAACAAAAAAAAAACAATGTACATGCTAATGCAAAGGACCTAAAATAGCCCAAACAATCCTGCAACAAAAAATAAAGCTGGTGGCATTATACCACTTCACTTCAAGTCTTGCTGTGTGTAAAGTACAGTTATCTGGTATTGGCTGAGGATAGACAAAGCGATCAATGGAACAGAATAGAGCCCAGAAATAGTCCAACATTTACAGTCATTTAATTTTTTACAAAGATGCCAAAGGAATTCAATGGGAAAGAATCTTTTCAAAAAATGATGCTACAATTGTACATTCACATGGGGTGAGGGGAGGAGATGCTCAAACATTACATCAGACTACAAACAGAAATGAAGTGAACAGATCATAGACTTAGAAGTAAAGCTAAAATTGTAAGGCTTCAGAAGAAAACAAAGGGAAACATCTTCACAATTAGTGAGTAGATAAAGATTTCTTCAGCCAGACACAGAAAACAATAGTCATAAAAGGAAAAAACTAGTAAATGAGACTTCATCAAAATTAAAAATTTCTGCTCACCTTAGGTTGAAGAACCACAATCAAGTACGTTAAAAATAAGCTTTCATACTCCTTATTGTGCTTAACTGCATTTACAGTTATCAACATAGATAAAAAGCTAAGAATGTCTGTTCCTGAAATGAATAGAGTTTTGATTTTAAAACTTTTTGTTGAAGAATAATAAAGACAGAGGAAAGCACATGAACAGCTCAGTGAGTTTTCACATGTGAAACCCACATGACCAGACCCAGAGCAAAACCAAGAAACAGAATAGCACCCTGAAAGCTCCCCCTTGTCTCTCCTCTGGTTCCTCCCTGCCCTTCTAAAGGTCATCCCTATCATGATGACCAACATCACTGACCATAGTTCAACAGATTTTAATTCTTTAAAACCGACTAGAATATAGAGAATAGTAGATGCTGCAGAACTGACAGTTAATGTACAGATATCTTGCCTCAAGATACAAGAGCATAAGAATTTTATCAATGAAATGAAATATAATTTCCAATACAGCATACCTTTGGTTAAGAATGCCCTCCATCTCATTCCTATTCTTCCCTCATCGAGGTAATTGTTACGTGTCCTCCAAAATCTGAAACCTTCCTTGATCCTCTAGTTTAGATACATATACCCTTTTCCCATTCTCTATTCCCTCCTACCATAGTGTTCGGCACACCATTCCTATTATTAGAAGAATTATAAGCCCTTCCTCATCAGTGTGCAAACGCTTAAGGCCAGGGATCCTGACTTGCTCTATGTGTTCTACGTTTACTTCTTCTTGGTCTAGTTCCTGTCAACCTGATACACAATAAATGACTCTTAGTTGAAAACCCAGTGGTACAGAATCTGTTAAACGAGTAATATTATTTAAATTAATACCTCCAGGTCGCAACAGCCTATATCTGTGTAGACAGAGGGCTGAAAGCAATAAAAGTAAAGATTATTACAATATATATTCTAGAATATTCTGATTAAAGACAGAAAAGACAAGTTTGGACCCATAGTTTCACAACAGTAAAAGCTGAAGTCAAGTCTCAGAGAATACTCACTTTAAATGTAAGAATAATTATTTAATAATGCATTAACATGAAGAATATTTCCCTTCAGAATCAAATTGAGATTCTAATTACCATATGGCAATGGTATGCCTCCAAAAAAGGGGGGTATATAATTTTACTTATTCAAATGAACAGATACAATGAAAATCAAATAATCTCATTTTAAGTTCATAAGTAATGACATTAATCTCATCTTATTAAAATAGAAATATTAATTTTATATGAATTAACATATAACATAATAAACACTTTTATTGCACTCGATGAAATAATAATAACTGGATCCTTAACTATTTAGTGACATTTTTTGGAAAAATATATAGTTACATAAACAACTGAGATTTACTTAACCCCAAGTAAGTGAATTTACATAGAAATTTTTACTAGAACTACATGCCACCTTTACTTCTCTTTAAAAAACAAATATATTTTGCTATAGATAGTAGATATGAAAAATATTTCTCAACTTTCAATTAATGTGTGTATGTGACAAATACAATTCAGAGACCTATATAGGTGACACCCATAAATCAGCTGACAATAATGATGATAAAAAGAGCTTCACTTACTGCTATTTCTCTACATGCCGACATAGAGATCCCGGTTCCTTCTATTTGTTTTAAAGCATAGTCTTTATCATCTTTCCTGTAAAAACAAAGTTATTTTAATATACAGAAAAATCTAAATGTATGTGCATTTTTAATAAAATAAAATAAAAATAAATATAAATCACATACACTTTGACACCTTTCACATATAATAACATAATTTCATATGGGAGAAACTTCAGGTAATCTATTCCAATCCCATTACTTGATGAGGGAAGTTAGATTCCAAGGAATAAAAAGACTTGTCCAAGGCTCTATGGTTATTTGCAGAAGAGAAAGATTCAGAAATGAAGCTCCTGACTTCCAATAATAGGTTCTTTCTGCTCTAATATGTATACACTTCCTGTGTGTGTGTGTGTGTGTGTGTGTGTGTGTGTGTGCGTGTGTGCGTGCATATATAAAACTTGGTCCCTTAAAGCCCATTTGGATACCGAGGTGTCAAAAAAATTAAGAAATGAATGCATCATTCATAAAGTACAAAATGGTTATGATTTAAAACATGTTATATAGTTCATATCCCCAAATACCTTCAAAGGGATTCACTCGACATGTTTACTGAACACTTACTGTGTCTCCAGAACTGTGCTAAGTCCTGGAGATATAAGAGAATTCCTTCCTTTATGGAGCTTTCTGTGGCTACTGGTGGTGAGAGATAACTAACCCACCACAACACAATATGATAATGCTGTGACAGAGCAAGTACGAACCGCAGAGCTACCCAAAAGTCACTCTTTTGCCTGGAGACCCAGGCAAAGCCTTCTCAGAGGAAATCCCATTTCACTGAGGCCCAAATGGCAGTCCTCAGACTTTCTGGACTCAGGACCCCTTTACTCTCTTAGATGTCTCTGAGGACCCTGAAGAGGTTCTGTTTGTTCTATCAATATTAACCCTCTTAGAATTGAAAAATGGGAACTCTTAAAAAACACAACCTACGAAAGAAAGCACATATCCATTATCCACCAGAGCAATGGCATCATCACGTGTCACGTCACCTTTGCGAAAAACCCACTGTACACTCGCGAGAATCAGCGTGAAGAAAGGCATATAACACAGCACTGTTATGAAAACAGTGTTGACCTTGCAGACCCTCTGAAAGGATTTTGAGGACACCTAGAGCTTCCCAGATCGCACTTTGAAAACTGTGCTTTGTGTGTGTGTGTGTGTGTGTGTGTGTGTGTGTGTGTGTGTGTGTGTGTGTGTTGAGAGGGGAGGAACAAAGTGGAACAGGCCAACACAACATCATCCCTCAGAACAGGAAGCACAGCAGGAGGAAAAGGTCTGAGGGAACAGGAAGATGATGGCTCCACAGCGTGCAGGCTGAGTCTGGTACCTGTGAGACACCTACGTGGGGATGGCAAGCTGAATAAGCACGTCTAAAGCTCAAGAGAAAGCTGAAGATATCAGCATATACATACCGTCAACCAAGCCAGGAGAGTACATGAAGGGAGACCAAAGAGCAGGACTGGTAAGAAAAAGATTTTCCAAAAAGGGCAGAATAGTAAACAGTATCCAAAGCCACCGAGAAGTCTAGTGAGGTGAGGAGTGAGCAGTGTCCACTGAATTTAGCAACGATGAAGTCACCAGGGGATACTGGACTAGGCAAAAATAGTCGCAGTGACGTACTGGCAGATACTGCAGAAGGCTGGGGAATGAAGGGGGCATAAGTCAACTGAGACAATAACAGTAGGTAATTCTTTGAAGGTGATAAAATAAGGCAGCAGCTGGAGTAATACACAAGGTTAAATAATTTTTTTTAAGATGTAAGAGGCTTGATTATGTTAAGTACTGAAAGGAAGAACCCAGAGAAAAGGAGATGAGAGGGAAAAACGAGAAGAGCAAAGACTGAAATGCTGGGGAGAGATTAGATTCAGAGCCAGAAGGAGAAATGTGTCTTCCATTGTTAACAGGAAGACAAAGGAGGGAGGAAAGGATAGATACAGGTGCAAAGAAGTTGGTTCAGAGGCAAAAAGGGGAGTTCTCATTTTGATGGCTTTCATTATTTTTCTGATGTTGGAAATGAGGTCAAATACTAAAAGTAAGGGGGCTTCCCTGGTGGCGCAGTGGTTGAGAGTCCGCCTGCCGATGCAGGGGACACGGGTTCGTGCCCCAGTCCGGGAAGATCCCACATGCCGCAGAGCGGCTGGGCCCATGAGCCATGGCCGCTGAGCCTGCGCATCCGGAGCCTGTGCTCCGCAACAGGAGAGACCACAACAGTGAGAGGCCCGCGTACTGCAAAAAAAACAAACAAACAAAAAAAAAACCAACTAAAAGTAAGGGCAGAGTGATAGAGCTGGAGTTAAGGTTTGGCTGAACAGATGAGTAACTCCTTATAAAATCAATAAGTTTAATACTTTATCATTTTAAGTTATTCATAAAGCTTACGTAACTTTATCTTTCCTTTTATAACATATTTACACCATATCCTTAGTTGTAAAAACAAATCACAATTACATTATTTTTCTGAAAAACGATTTGTTTTACGACCATCAGATTTACAAGTACTTTCTAGTAAAGCACCATGGGCACACATTATATTAAAAATACACTAAGAATATCTGTACTTAATGTTCACCAAGTCTGAATGATTTCTGAAAGACTTAAAGGAGACATTAAAGAGGGTGACACAAAAATAAAATGAAATTGGGATCAGAATAAATCTATTAGAGATTAGACAGTTCATGTGCATGGTACTGATTTAACGAGATGGTCAACCCAGGAGTGTACCAGGTTCTGTTATATCTACCGTTGAGGATAACTTCCTAGACTTGAGCCTTCTAAGGAGAGAAAGAGAGAGCGGTGGGGAAGGAAATAAGTTAAACCGGAGACTAACTCACCTCCTTGACAACAACCCCTGGACTTTCTCTTTGTTAAAGACAGCCATGTGAAAATGTCTTCAAAATGAGCTAAAAAATTCTAATCTGCAATCAGTTCTCTCCCCCATCCCACGTAGTTAATGTTTTATATTTTATAAAAGTAAGTTATCAGAAAGAAAGGTAAAATAGGAGAACATAAAAAACTTTGAGAAGATGTGTGATTATCAAAAACGCAACTGCCTCTTAAAAATCACCTAATAATAATTACCATCATAACATAATAGTGCTTTGTGGTTTACAGAGCACACTTATTTATCTAGCCATCCACACAACACTTTTTTGTAAAAAGGCACCCTGGAGAGGAAAAAGATTCGTTCCCTACATTCACTCATGATCCAGTCGAAGTAGTCAGATTGTATCAGTGATAACTGCAGTACAGTGCTCTACATAATAGTACTATAAACAGAGGGAATGACCAACTAACTATACCTTGAAGGGTTGAAGGAAGATGAAAGAAAGCTTCAGAAAGAGTCTACTTAAGCAGAGATTCTTAAGACTTAAGAAGTTTGTCAGGAAAGGAAGGAGGGGCTGGGAAAAGAAATCAGTAGTTATATGTGGCATCCCAGGAAGTGGGAAAATCATGTATAAAAATACAGAAGCACAGACAGGATCTGGCATGCTCAGAGAATAGCAAAGACGGGCAGCAGCTTAAAATCATGGAAACACATGGACAGCCCTGAGGTTTGCCTACCTTAGAAACAGACAGAGGTAGGGTGGGAGGGGGACTTTCATGCCAGCTCTTTCCAAAGGGTGCAGAATATGTATACTTCACTTCAAGGAGTGTACAAAACAAATGAGTATGACAAGAAAACATCACATTTAAAAATAAATAAACAAAGTTGAGAGAAAGTGTGTCATGTGAGAAGACCAAAAAGAAGAGCGCGCAGCCATGATGAACACTTGCCTTTAACAGATGGGAGGGGAAGTCAAAAATATAAAATGGCTATAAAGGAGTGGTTAAAAAAAAAAATGAGTAGTGTTTTGGTAAAATAGAGTACTGAACACATATCAAACTTCACTCCCCTCCTAACACCCTACTAAAACTATGGCAAAGAAAAAATTTTAAAGACATAAACCCATAAGGATGAAAAATGAGAGAGAAGATAGCATAAAAATTTGGAAACTAGAATGTAAGTGGACAAACAGTAGAAGAGGAGCTGATGACAAGGATCCAAGAAAACCAAATAAAAGCTGATAGCGAAGAAAGCTGAGAACCAATTAGATTTGCAGAGCCAAATCCTCCAAAGCAGAGACTTGAGAGGACAAGATCCATCTGGAAGCAGAACTGGCTGGGTAGAAGATAAACTGAAGAGAGAACCTAGAAAACAGAGCAATAAAACAAAGTTAGAGAAATGTGAAATAAAAATAGGGAAATTAGAGAACCAGTCCATGAAATCCAACACACAAATAATTAGGAGTTTCAGAAAAACAGAACAGAGAAAAGAGAGGAAGAAAACTTACAAAGTAATTCAAGGAAACTCCCCAAACTGAAGGACAGGATTTGTAAACCTGGAAGGGTTCAGTGAGTTCCTATCACAAATGAATTAAAACAGATGCACATCAAGACAATATTTAGGCATTTCAGAAAAGTGGAGACAAGCAGTAGATTTTACAAGCTTCCAGTGAAGATGGGTAATGGGCCACTTAAAAAGGATCAATATTATTCAGCCACGAGAAGAAGGAAATCCTGCCTTTTGTGGTAACATGGATCCTGGGTAGACCTTGAAGGCATTACACTAGGTGAGACAAGTCAGACAGAGAAGGACAAATACTGCATGCATATCACTTATATGTGCAGTCTCTCGTAAATACAGAAAGTAGAATAGTGGTTACCAGGGGCTGGGGGCTGGGGGACTGAGGAGATGTTGTTTAAGGGTAAAATTTGCAATCAGAAGATAAAAAATCCTGGAGCTTTAATCCCGGAGATCTACTGCACAGCACAGTGATTATATACAATAATACCGTATTACAAACTTCAAAGTTGCTAAGAGACTATATCTTAATTATTTCCATCACAGAAAAGAAATGATAATTATGTGACGTAATAATTCTGGTTAACAAAGTAATTTTCCAGAAGTGTTCAACCTTATCACTGATGTAAACAACTATCTTCCTTTGCCAGATACTTAATCAGCTCTACATGCTCTCGGATTAGGTGTCTGGC